TGGCTTTGTTTATTACAGTTCACTTTAGATTGCACCTAAGACTTCGTTATCCCTAATCTCGCCTTTAAACCCGCAGTTATAGATCCCTCTTATACTTTGGGAGTGATGTTGTTCAACAATTACCTAAATATGCACTCTCTCCCGAGTTATGCATACTAAATAGGCACAGCTAATTAAGGATCCTGTCAATTAACTACAACAAACACGTAGTTGAACAAATAGATATTAAACTAGCAAACTATATTAACATACTCAAGAAGTTCATCCTTCAATAGGTTCCATCAAAACCCTAGACAAAAGATTTAGCTACTCATGACAATGGGTAAATAAACTATGAAAATATTCATGATCAAAATTGCAACAAAAATAAAGAAAAGAAGAAAATATGATGTTTTGGGTGATCTCTCACACTTGTTTCTCTTGCCAAAGTACTTTCTAAAACAATACATGCCTCCCTTGGACGAGTTCTATTGTTTAATATAGGATTTTGGGCTAAAAATCTCGTGTTTTGCACTTCAGTCCCTCAATTTTTCGCTTCCTATCGCGGTCCTACCGCGGTTACGCCAGGACCGCGGCCAACTAGCCTCTCAGAATCCGCAACAGCCTTCTGCCGCGGTCCGACCGCGGTTACGCCTGGACTGCGACAGTCCATCTCCAGTTCTGATTTTTTTGCTGCCTTCGCGTGGTGCACTTAGCGGATATTGTACGATTAGCCTCTTTTTCTCCATAATTGATCCCAAAAGTACTCCATAGACTTCTTTTATTGTATATAGCCTGCAAAGCATGAAAAGAACTAATCAGAGTATTTTGTTATTACTTTTTACCACAAAAGCTATACAAGAAGGTGGTTCTTTAAGGCCTAATTATAGTCCAATTCACCTATTATCACTTTGTTCTTACAAAAAAAAGGAAAGTGACTTTAACAGATAATTTGGGATAGTTGAGTGACCATTTAAAAGTCAAACCAAACCGATTACAAAATCCCGACTTGATTTGGTTTGATTTGGATTGGTATTGAGTAAAAAAAAAATCTGAACCAACCCGACATATAAATATATAATTTTTATATATACTTTTAAGATTTTATATAGAATTTTCTTTCAAAAATGTCCAAAAATATTTGGGATTCTTTTGTGGGATATAAATTTTAATAGAATATGAAATGCTCCATATTTATTGACCTAAAATAATGGGTTGTATGTTCACTTTCTTATCAAGTGTTACTGAAATGCGTCTATCTTTTTGTTCTTCCATATTCATATCATATGTTAAGATCTATATATCTTTTTTGAATGTGAAGTAATTATTAATATTTAGGTTCATACCGATTTTTATGTTTAATTGCTAAATTCGATTAAAGCGTACATCAACAAAAAATTATTGTCATACGACTAAAAAAATAACAATTATGTGTACTAATCCAATTCTCCCATAAGAATAATTTAATCGATAATATGTTTGTCAATTGTTTATATTTTTACTAAATACATATATTTACTTATTAAATATTTAACAAAGTAAGATTCAAATAATATTTAAGTAACAAAAAAACCGAAAAACCGACAAAACCGAACGGATCCATACCGATATAGTTGGTTTGGGTTGATTTTGATAAAAACCGAACCAACTCGGTCCATGTACACATGTACTTACCACTATACTATAACGACTACTTGTTGTTTCCCTTAAAATACACATATATTAATATAGAACATTTTACACAATCAATCAATACATATGAACCAATCAATAATGCTGACAAAGATCAGGGGAAGAAGAGACGAAAAGAAATGAGGAGCTGTTGTTGCAGGGACAGAAAGAGAAAGTGAAGCATAGAGGTATAGCGCACTTCATTAATGCACTATGCGTTAAAATGTAAATACTGCGTATAGTACATATATTTACCGTGCTATATCTTAACGGCCGTTTTGCCCGTTAAGGTATAGCGCCCTTTAAAAGGGCGTTATATGTATTTTGGTCACTAAATTTTTTTTTCCACGCATTTCGATCGTTTGAGTCAAAAAAGATCACATTTTGATTCCGGACTCGAGTCTAGGAGAGGGTGCAGTGACAATCTAGCCATATAGCTCTAGATTGCATACATAATATCCATGAATTTACGTTATAATGCACTCACACTCTGACAAGATAAAGATTTTTATACTGTTAGTGTAGTTTAACTTATGATATTAAGTCAGTTACCATTTTTAACAGGTTAGTGATTAATGCTTATCGTAGAGATTTACCTCTAAATGCCTTACAAGTGACAAGTGAGTTGATTATGTAAATAATTTTTACATCTTGATGACGTGGATCTTAAACTCAATAAGCAATTACCTTATTGCATGATGATAGCAGTATTTGAGCTATCATTCATCCTAAGTTTGCCCCATTTCCTTGAGATGGTTTTATCTTATAGAATTTTTGCATTCCTAATAGTACTAAGCAACAAACAATAGGTAGTGCAATTTCACCTTTTTTTTTGGAGGGGGAAGACAACAATAAGATATACCAGTTTTAAGATCTACGAGTAACTCTAATTGAAAAGAAATAAATAAAACATAGAACGAAACATCTGCTACGCCTCAAGTCCAATATTCTAGATAGAGCCGACAGGTATGTTTGTATGACAAAAAATATTTCTAGAAAATATTTTTCAGAAGATACTCTGTCTCATTATCCAACGCTTTCTAAAATTTACTTAGAAACAATTTCAAAAGATGGACTATAGGGGAAAAAAAACATAAGCCACTTAAATTATTTTTCCCCTTTTAATGGAAAATGTTTCTTGAAGTGTTGCTTGCCAAAAAATGACATATTTTTGGAAAACATCCTTCCTATCAAAAACAGCCTACATGAATTTTCATTTTACTTTTCACCCATTTGACCCAATTTATTAATCAAATGGTCCATAATTTGGGGTTCTCCATAGTTTGACTAGTTTACTACTCCCTTCGTTCCATATTATTTATCCGCGTTACTAAAGATATATATGTAAATTAGTAAAAAGAAAAGTGAGTAATGTGGGACGTGTAAAAAGAAAAGTGAAGAAGCTTTTTTAAGGGACGTGTAAGAAGAAAAGGGAACAAGTAATATGGGACGGAGCATAGTTACTACTACTATATATAAATGTGAAGAAGTGTACGAACACTGCAATATGTGGTTGTACAATAAGCAATAAGAATTGTATTTTCAAAATTGTGGAGTTTTTTAGGGTAATATTGTAATTTTGCTGTTATCCAAGAATTTACTCCTACTATTCTGTGAGGCGTGTACTACTTTATAAACACGTGTAGAAACTATTCTTTTCCATCCCACTTAATAGTCTGGTCATCTAAGCGCATTACGTCCTTTTTCCAGTTCTCTTCTTCCTCTCTCTTTCACTACTTGGTAGGAGTAATTTTTAAAAAAATTCTATATCTCTTTGATGGTGAGTGTTTCTGCAATTTTCTTCGTTCATTGCACTTTTTTGGATATATGTTAGTTTCAGCTCTCAGTTCTGGTAAGTTCCCCAGTCTATCTTTGCGTGTTGCCCTTTTGTTGGTAATTTCGTGCTATATTCTACAATTTATATGAGTCTTAATAATTGTATTTAATCTTCACATGCATGCCTAAAACTGTATACCTTGATGAATGCCGATGTATGATTTTGGGTAATTATTTCCTGATGTTTTTTGATTAATTCTCTTTTAGTACAAATTAGCTACTCCAAAATTAAATTGTCTCATCAAAAATCTAAAGTAGCAAAAGTATGAATTTTGTTTGCAAAGCTAGCCCACCTAAGGTTTGTTTCGATCTCCGCTATAATTACATGCCTCTTTCCGTTCATTTTTCTAAAATTTGTTTTCTTCCAAAATTTCTCGAACCGCCCCGTCGAATATATGCCTGATGTATATGCTTCACCGGCTTGTGTTCCAATCTCTTCTAAAGGAAAAAAACATAAGACAATATCACACCTGCATATTTTAATATTTTTCAGCCACTTGTATTCATTGCTTTGTTTTTGTTTAATGTGAACATAAATAATACTGTAGTTGTTGAAGTAGATTATGCATCCAAAGTGTTTGATGATATGTCTAACTCATTTTATTTGGTGTAATGGAGTTCACAAATCTTATTTTGATTATTTTCAAATATGACAGAGGGATCAGCTGAAATAACCAATGCCCTAAGTGATGATTCAGGTGTTCTTAATTTGTGATTGAAGGTTTCCAGCCTTCATAGGATTGCTGGCACCATGGAAGGTTAGTCAACTTCGCTCCACAAAATATTAGTATTTGTCAGATCCATCACAATTGATCTTTGTTAGGATCAGCAATATGAGATGATTGTATGATAAGCTTGCAGAAAATCTTAGTCTCAGTTTTATGCAGTGTAATGTCTATGTACGGTATTTAAGCCTGAAATTATCAGTAATCTTTAGCAGCTTGAAAATCACAATGAAGAGAACTTGGTTAAAAATGTTCCTATAAGTAACTATGCAAATTGATGTATAGTTCATCAATTAGTTCAACTTCTACAGTCAATGCAAGAAAATTAGGCAGTCGAATGAGATGCTTAGCAATAAATTACAGTAGCTTTTCTATAAAGGCCTTTATTGCTTATCTGCGAATACACTTAGGATCACAAATTTATAATCAGTTCCACAAACGAGCCATAAAAATTTATGTTACCTTCTTGAAAAAAAGGAGGTATGAAGATTTTCCATGACTTCATATTTCAGGTTAGTTCTTGACATAGTCTAATGAAAGATGGTAACATTGTAGCCTTCCAGTTGTGAGAGTGCACAAAAGATTAAGGACGACCAAATCTCTCCCTCCCTCCCTNCCCCTCTCTCCGTGGATATTTAGTTTCTCCCATGTGAACTCTTTCCTACATGCTATCTGGTTTGGCATCGTCAAAACATATACACAATAAACAATTAAACATCACAGTTAGTATGGTAGGATAGATTATCAAACATTATAGTGAATATAGCTTGTAATATTTATGTACATTAACCAATATTGTAGGGATAAGTTTCAAAGGAGATACTTAGAATGAATTTATTCTGCAAAACTTTGCACTTGAACGTGTGTATAGGTGTTTTGTGCATTTGTAATTTTTTAAGTTGGTATGACATCAAATGACAATGGATTGTACAACTATGAACTCGTGTTTTCTACTGCCCTTATGCTAAGTATAGTGAATTTAATGCTAAAAACTTATTCCCCTGATTTCAAACACATACTTTTCTGGCAAGCTAAAGAACGATAATCTTGTTGACAAGAACGTCACAGCATTTTTCATGAGTTGATGGAGTAATTGCTCTCGTGACGGGAAATTCTTTTTTCGTTTCTACACAAGGTTAGATGTTAAATTTGTTGTTTGTCTAAACAAGATTGATAGTTTTTCGACTAACAAGCTCTCCACAGAATAGGCAACTTGAGAGACTTTTTCTGTTATATTCTTTTATACTTGAAATCTTGTCTATTGATTATTTATAGTTAGTGTATATTCTTTTCAGTTAGAGAAATGAAAGCTTTTCTATTGATTATCTATAGTTAGTCTATATTCTTTTTTGTTAGAGGAATAATGTACTACGGGAGCTTTAACGTTTTAAGCATTTCTTGGCATTACTACAGAAGGAGGTAACAAAATATTTTTCTAAGCTTTTTTTTTTTCTGTCAAAATTTTGCTTAGAGGTCGAAACCTTAAATGTTCTACCTTATCAAAGATGAAACCTTGAATGTTTCTGTTGGAGATTTAAAGAAGATTTCTGTAGTAAGACATGACCTATCTGTACATGAATAATTTCCTTTTTGTATGATGTATGTGCTTGACATGAATTGATATTTGAATTTGTTCAAGGCATGAGCTATGGTCTAAAAGTAACCATTTGAGCAAAAAACAGAACCTTTATAAGTGATAATTACATGTAACCAGTTGCTTATACTATTCAATATTTGTGGCTGTGGACATTAGAGTTCTATGGATGTAAAACTCCTTAAAGGTGAGAAAGCTTATTGAATATTGTTCAATTTAGCACTAACGAATTTCCTCTTGGCTTACTCAGTACTATACATACATGTCAAGTATCACCTGATTTGTCATATTACAATTATGAGTTAATGACACTTGGTTCTGTTACATGATATGAATGAAAGGAAAATAAGTTCAATTTTTCATATTAGCTGTATTTCCATGTTATGTTTAAGAGATTACAGAGGATGTCTCTATGTTGCCACATAAAGTTAAAACTTACAGTTTTCTCTCTTTCCTGTCTGGGACAGGATTTTGTCGTTAAATTTCTTTTGCAGGAAATCACTATTCTTTGACTATCTATTTTGCATTTAGCAGAGTTGTTTGAAGGCTACAATCAAATTGTGGCTGAAAGGAAATTCACATACGAACCTATTGGCCAACATTATGGGAATCAGAAGCGAAGACGTATGGTGAGCTTTGTGGTCAAATAAGTTTGTGAAACAAGGAGAAGAAAAGTTACAGAAAAATTGGTTCTTCTGTATTCAAATGGACTCAATGATTTGGTAAAATCTATTTCCTTCTTAACATGTGCAACAATCTCTCTCTCCGTATTGCATGTACCGATGAGTTGAAGAACTGGAAGTGGAAAAGATTAAGAGGTTTATTAATTTGTGTTCGGAAAGTGATAATTATGTTGGCCAGTTTAACATTGTTATTAATCTTAGATACTAATTATTTTTTATGTTTAGTGGAACATACAAAGAATGAGTTTGCACTAAATTATAATCATTCAAGAATAGTTATTCCTCCGACTGCTCCTTGTGATGCAGCAAACCATTGCGGCTAACTTGCCAAATGCATCAGACACTCATAAAGCTCGAGACTCTAGAATCCTGAGGACATGGTTATGTGTTCTCTCTTAGCAGAGTTCACGAGTACAACATGATAGAAATAATAGAACTATAGAAGAAAGATGAATATTCTTGCTTGGTTAAGAAAAGTGAGTTAACTGAGAAAATTTTTAATTTTAATTTCTATAAGAAGCGTTGTATATACCATCACCACCATAGTTTAAAAGAAACTAAATACCTAACAAGTAGGCATGAACTAAAATTTTTAATTTCTATAAGAAGCGTTTATATACCATCACCACCATAGTTTAAAAGAAACGAAATACCTAACAAGTAGGCATGTGCATAAACTAAATACCTAATATGTCGGCCCGTGCTATGCACGTGCATCACCTCTCTAGTAATGTAAAAACTCTAAAAATGACTTAAAAAAGGTAAAAATAGCATGGTCTAGCCAGTTTTCGGACTGGTCACTCAAAAATAGTCAGTGTTTGCTAAGTCATTAAAAAATAGCCACTATTTTATTGCAATAGAGATTGGTCCAGCATAATATACTGGAGTTCGGTGCACCTGTGTATGAACTTCCAGCATATTATGCTGGACCGGTATACTTTGCTGGCTCCAGTATAATACACTGGAGTTCGGTGCACCTGTGTATGAACTTCCAGCATATTATGCTGGACCGGTATACTTTGCTGGCTCCAGTATAATACACTGGAGTTCGGTGCACCTGTGTATGAACTTCCAGCATATTATGCTGGACCGGTATACTTTGCTGGCTCCAGTATAATACACTGGAGTTCGGTGCACCTGTGTATGAACTTCCAGCATATTATGCTGGACCGGTATACTTTGCTGGCTCCAGTATAATACACTGGAGTTCGGTGCACCTGTGTATGAACTTCCAGCATATTATGCTGGATCGGTATATTATACTGGAACTCCAGTATATTATGCTGAAGTATTTTTTCGGATTTTGAATAGTGTTTTCGTTCAGATTTATCTTTACATGAAAAATGACTAAATTTCAATTACCTTTGAAATTGTGAATTTTTGAATGATCACTTGTAAATCTGGCCATTTTTGAATTTCTCCCTAAAAAAAAGACTCTTATTGGATCCAATGTAAGCATACTGACGCAACTACACTTCAGTTCCAGCTTGTTTGCATTGCCTCTATATTCTAATTTCTACACATTTTTGTTATCTAGTTATTTTTGTGTTTTTATTCTTCATGTACTTTTCTTCCCCAAATGCCAGTTGCTTGAAAAGTTAGATTTTCTATTGAAACGGCTTCATTTTTGTAAAAAGCATTTAAATTAAAATAAACCTCTTGTCATATAACTATTTCAAAAAGAGTGTGTAGATAAATGTTGTTTAATTGGTGTTTGGTTGTTATAGCTGCAAATTATTTTTGATCTAATAAACAAATATTATTTTCCTGAAATAAAAAATTCTATAAATAATTATCTAGTGCTCCTAATAACTTATTGTCAGTATCCTCTAGGTAATCAAAAATAGGGTGTTATAAAATATAACCCAAAATAACAATATAGAACAAGCAAAAACAAACTAAGAGATATAGAGAGAAAGAGAGGAAGGGAGATTCTTATTTCTTCTTCAATTGTGTGTATTTTCCTATCTATTACAAGGCCTTTATATAGGCATGAAAGGTGAAGAAAATATGTCATTAAATATGTCATTAAGCATTTGACATGAAGATCATGGAGGAAGAGTAGACATTCACCATAACATGATATTTATCATAACACTTCCCCTTGGATGTCCATAAATAATGTGCCTCGTTAAAACCTTATTAGGAAAAAACCCTATGGGAAAAAAAATCCTAATGAAGGAAAAAGAGTACACATATTTAGAAATACGCCTTTTGGTTGCCTCGTTAAAAACCTTGCAAGGAAAACCCGGTGGGACAAAACCTTGTAAGGGAAAAAGAGTACACCGCGTATTAACTCCCCCTGATGAGAGCATCAGTTCACATCCTTCAGCTTTCGCATCCCAATCTTGTACACCAGTTTCTTGAAGGTTGACATCAGTAGAGATTTGGTGAACAAATCAACCATATTATTACTTGAACGAATCTGTTGCACATTGATATCACCATTCTTTTGAAGATCATGTGTGAAAA